CTGGGCGGTGCGAATGGGTTGGACATGTGAGACTCTGGATAAAGGACGGTGTTCCTGCTTCAAGTATGCCCCCGCTTGAACGGTGACGTGTACAGCGGTCTTCCCAAGCTGTTGCCTTCCACATGCCATAGCGTTGTCGTACGCCGCGAGTTTTTGACAGCTTCACCGCCACTACCTCATACATAGCTATTCAACCGGATATGGATGGGTCCGATGAAGAGAAACATTACTGAGGTCGCTAGCGACCATGGAGTTCACGGGAAATGCGTTACACCTCCTGAGATCTGGTCAAATCGGGCAGCAGGGGGAAAGAAGGAATACCTCACATGTCTGCCGCAAGGAACAGACATTTTGTTTGTCAGTTTCTTGAGCGGATCCCAGGCCCTGTATTGCCTCGCATGCAGTCACCGAAAGTTGGCTAAGTATGTGTGTTATGTCGACAGGCTGAATAATCTTCAGAAAGGCCGATTGAAAGCGCTTGCTCGTCATTTTAAGTCTTACTCTTTGAACGGTGCTCGCTATCATGACCAACATATCTGCAACGGTCCTGCCAAATATACCGCGCGAGAGCTTCCGCTCCTTAAAAAGCTACACTTCTCGGGGCAAATGGAGTGGAACTCTGGGCTCCTCCGCCTTTTTCTCAATTCGATTCTATTGACACCCGGTACCGCTTGCGTCAATATGCCGACTTTGGAGTGTCTTGATTTATCGGAGACAGTCATGACCTCTGTTGTCCTTCATCTTCTCCTTGAAAAGATTGCAAAGCGGCCTCATCTGCATACATTGCTCCTGCCCGACATGCGGGAGACTGCGTACGGAACGGCGAATTTCGTCCGATCCATCCCTTTCATCCGCGAAGTTGGTAATCGCCACGGTGTTGGCCTTCACTACCTTCGAGAAATAATTGACAAGCTCCGGCTCGGTGAGCATCATCATGAGGGGCTTCTACAGCCAGCGCCGCTGGAAAAGCTTGACTTCGCCTGTAGGAGAGGGGAGGTGAAGCTCGGGCAATACAGGGTAGCATGTCGGACACTACTCGATATGGTCAAGCTGTTAGGAGCCAGGGCTTTGTTTCCCAGGTTACGGGTACGTAAATCCTGAAGAAAAGGCATGGAGAAGGCGGTGCCTTGCCAGGCTCGGTCCTACGCGAATTCTCACCGCATTCCCGATCTTATTGGCCGTCCAGGTCTTGCGCCTGGACTGCCCTCCTTTGGATTTCAAGGGACTATATAGAGACGTTTCAATAACGCTGTGTAAAAATGCCGGACCGTATTTCATGAGGGGTGCGGTGGCGGGTTTAGAGGAGCTGTGCTTGCGAAACACGGAGAACATGGGCATGACAGCTTCAGACCTCATTGGTATGACGAAGGCAATGGCGAGGGGTCCCGTTGCAAATTTCAAGGCGATGCAAGTACTTCGTCTTCATGGCTTTGTCAGCGGTGAGTTTCACCTCGCCCTCGCCCTGGTCACGGCATTTACCGGCATGCGCAATCCCCGCGACGGCCGATGGCACAGCTTGCGTATCTTAGACCTGACCAATAACCTCCTTGGGGATATTGCCTTAGAGACGCTGGCGGAGAGCATCGGAAAGGGAGTCTTTGGGCCGGCGCTGCAGGAGTTGGACCTCTCCCTGTCCCAGGGCGTGCGTCGCACGCAGCAAACCACGATAGGCCCCGCCGGCATCCGGGCGCTGGTCATGGCACTCAAGGCTCGTGGGGACGCGGGGGAGGAGATCTGTCTCAAACGCTTGCACCTAGGGGGGCAGGAGATCGGGGATGAGGGGGTGGCGGAGCTGGCGAGAGGCTGGTGTTTACGAGGCTTTTGCTGTTGGAAGGCTTTGGAGGAAGTGAAACTGAACGAGAACGGCATCACGGACGAAGGATTTTGGCATTTGATGGCGGGGGTGACCCCGTGCGTGGAAGAGGAGATGGAAGAGTCGGAGGAGGAAGCCCCCCCGACATCGCTTCGAAGAGGGAAATGGCCAGTCCTTCGACGCCTGGTTCTGGAGCGAAATTTGATCATGGGCGGTGAGGATCTCTGCAAACGTGTCCGCTCGTTCTTTGCGTGCCAGATGCTGGATGCTTGTCCGACGGCACTTCCGCTCAAGCGTTTAAATTTGGCGCGAAACCCATTGACGGCTGAAGGGCTTGGAACCTTTCTCTCTTGCTTAGGCCCTTCGCTGCGTGAGCTGAAATTGGGGGGAAACACTAACAAATCGAATTACAACAACGCCATGCTTCGCGAGTTGTGGAGACCTGTCTGCGATGCTTTCGAATGGAAAAACCTCGCACGGCTTTGGGATGTGCGCCGGCTGGATCTCCGAAAGTTGGAAATGTCGCGGGAGGTGGTGGAGGAACTGGCGAGGGTCTTGCAGGAAGGGAGGCAGCTGACGCGTCTGTGTCAGCTGGAATTGAGCCTCGCGGACATTCGGAGGGAGCGAGATGTGGCGGTGATAGTGAACGATCTCAAGATTGCGAGGGGCCCGCGCCTTGTTTGGGATGTGTTGACGATCAATTACCAGACATGGATTGAGCTGCGGGAACCATGACATGCGCAGACGAACCAGTCGAAAAAGGCGGTAGACGAAATAAAAATAAATGAAGAGACCTGAATGACATTGAGAGCATCTCGAATCGCCAGATGTCGATTAGCGGATCACAGGCATGTGTTCCCAAACCCCTGAAGCAACCAGGGGGCCGTTATCCTCAGCACGACATGAGTAGAAGGGAGAAGGACTGAGGACCTTCCCTTCGCATGCCTTGACGTTCATGTCCCTGTACAAGGGCTCTTTTCCTTTTCCTCTCTTTCTTCCCACGTCTTTCTCTCTCTACTTTCGATTGAAAAATCCAAGCCCACCCGGCGGCAATCCCCGATCGCCTCGGTGGTCTTCCTCCCTGCCATGGCTTGGTCCACTACCACCACTACCTCGGCCCACTCCCCGCCCACCCCCTCTGCCT